ATTTGTTAATTAAAATTTGATGTTGTAATGACAAATATTTTAATAATAAAACAAGTATTCATCTCTTTTAATCATACCTCATGTTTTGGGAATCTTGTGTTATAATTCCTACGTTCCAAACACCTCTATCTATATGTTTCGTGTGTTTTTTCATTCCCCTATTTTCCCGCAACACATCTATATCATATTCCTGTGTTTTCTTCGTTTCCCCTGTTTTATATTTCTTTATTCGAAACAGACCCTCAGAAGAACCAAACATGATCTAAGAGTGAGGAGGAGATGGCCGGGGAGCATGCAAAGCACGGTGGGTGGTACGTGTGAACTGACGTTCATGGGTACATATAGGCCGGATGGATGGAGGGACAGCAACGCCGAATTGAAGCAGCCACAGCCCACAGTGCCTTTACATAGAGGAGCAGGCCTGAGCTAGCCGGCCTAGGTGCATGCGTGGTAGCGGCGATCGACGAGCGAGCGCGAGGGCGCGAGTGAATGCGCCAACAACCCAACAAAGAGGAGGTTGGAGAATTGAAGTGCCACATTGAATTGAACAGACGACGCGCGGGGGCCGATCAGGGCGAGTCTCGTCACACCCACACCCTCGATCGCAACGAGATGCCTCGAGCGAGAGAGAGATGGAGATGGCGATGGACTGGTGCATGGAGCCGGGAGGCATTCAAGATGGATTCCTATAGGGCGGCAGCGGCACAGACGAAGGGCACTGCTGCTGCCTGCTGGGGGAGGCCGCGGTGAATGCGCTCTGCAGCAACTTGCCATCACGCACGCCCGCCCTACTACGTACAGACTTCAGGCATGGCATGGGATGTTTGCCTCTGCCTTGGCCGTCGCGTCGCGTCGTGTCCTCTCTCTGCCTGCCTCTACGTACGTTGTGCCGTTGTGCGATGGTCATCGATCGGCACATGTGGATGCGGCGACGGACAAGCGTGTGCATTGCCTTGACGGAAACTATCGACTGCCGTGTGCGTGTGTGATGACACCGGCTCCGGCAGCGGCGTCACACCGGCCGGTGCCGCGACGCCGGCCGCTGCGGTAAACCATGCTTCCAAGCAACCAGCCGGCCAGCCGGGACGTACAGTGGCTCGATCGCCGGCTCTGCTGCGGTAACCGGTAAGTCATGCATCTCGCTGTCGCTGTGTGCCTGTGTCGCAGGTGCGCGTGGCCTCCGCATGCGGTTTGTTTATTTTTCCTCCCCGGCCCGCCTGCGCTCGTTCCTTATGTCAGCCTGTTCGGCAGGCCGTATCGTATCGTGGATTATTTACTGCTAGCTGGTTTGGTGTGAGAGAAAAACACTATTCTTAGCTGGAAATTTACGATCGTTTACGAGCAAGCGAACAGGCTGTATCTGTAGTGCCGAGTGCCGACTCGATCCGGCCATGCATGCTGTACCCAGGCCGCCAGTCCGGACCGCAGGAATAGTTATACTCCGTATATGGATGGCGCGCGGTTCACAACGTATATACTGCATGTCTTTTTTGATTGAGAGCTTAGCTAGCGTCACGCAACATGGTCACGGACGAGGCGTACATACCGTTGCCGTGAGAAAAAAAATATACATGTTGCTTGTGCTTGGACGACCGGCATGTGCTTCCATTCCGTTGCGTGATTATTGCGTCTCCTAGAAAATGTATACAAATATACTTCTACTACGTACATTCCAATGAACAAACGATTTGCGTGCTAGTAGCAGTGGCCACACGCACTGACGCACATCGCATGTGGAGCCTACGTGTTTCGTAGCTGACATTCTGACAACACATGGCAAAGTCAGGGGACGGAGATACCCGTACAATTACTGCGTGCGTACAGTACGACGCATGGACCATGCATGCATGCACGGCAGCACGGATGCACCCCGTGCAGTGCAGCCGTGCACAACGGCGACGACACGAGAGAAAGCAGCAGGTACGCTACCTGTAGCTATTACTAGCTAGAGATTGGTCTCTCCCTGCATGCATGCAGGCATGCAGCTCGATCTCTAGCTTAGGAATCAGAGGAGAGGAGGATGGATCCGTCCCTGCTCACGGCGTACCGCTGATCGATGATGCACGGACGATAATATCGATCTGTTTGCTCCTAATTGGAGTACTTCTTAATTGTGCAAGTCTTATCTAACTGAACAAGAGGCGGCGGGTGAGTAAGTACATGGTTCGCTTGGCTACTGGACGTTTTTGACCTTTTTTTTTCTATAGATACATAATTTTTGCTATGCATATATAATAATAATAAAATTAATGTATCTAGAAAAGCTTAAACGTCTTATAATTTAATTTGAAACCAAAGAAATACATAACTTTCGCTATATATATATATATATATATATAAAATTAGATATACACTATTTTTCTCTTTTACTTTTTCTCTCCAACTCAACATAGCCTACTTACTCCTACATCATATCATATTACTCCTATAATACTTGCTCCTACTGGCACTGTCCGGGCTACTGCCTGCTGGCGGCCAACAGTGTGTCACCCACGCCTGTACAGGCATACATCAATGAGAGAATGCATAGACGTTGGATTGTCCTTTTCTCGGCCAGCAAAAGGGACCATCCAAGCGATCAGTCTTGGACTCATTGGTCCATCCACTCTAGCTTACCAAGCCTTAGGCCGATCAAATACCAACTTCTGTGCGTGTCAATTAGCTATGAACTGTTGCTGTAATTTCAGCTAGGTCATCGAGAGGTTCAAACTTCCCATCAGCAGCTGTCGTACGTAGGGACACGACTGTCCAGGCTGATGAGAAATGGGTTTCAAATGTGTACGCCTTCACTCACTAACCCAATGGCAAACCTGGCAATCCTTAGCCATAAGCCAGCAAAACATACGGCCAAATCAAAATTCCAGAAGAGCATAACCCATGCCGTACCAACAGCCTAAATGCTAGTAGCAGCAACAGACCGGCCCCAACGTCCACAGCCTGGTGTATGCAGTGCCGGCCCTAGGGGTAGGGCGCGGGGTGCGACGGCTGAGGGCCCAGGCGGGGGAGGGGCCCAAGCCTAGTTATACAAACCCCCAGTTCCTATAGTCCATTAGACATCACAAACTAATGAGTAGACGAAAGAGATGCAGAGAACTGGCCAGGCGGCCTAAGAAAACAACGCCGGCCTTTTCTTTCCCAGTTTCCCTTCCCCATGGCCCTCGGACAGACCGGCATAGAGGACAGAGGAGACGAGGAGCCGCACCACAGCCGCACACTCTGATCGTGACTCGCGAGTTCGTGATGCTGCACCAACGCACACACACGGAGCCAACGAGCCGCGCTATCGGAGACATGGACACGGCGCACGACAGCGGCAACTAGGCAGGGCTCCATGACGACGACATCTTGGTTCTTGCCTTCTTACGAATTGCGATCGGCGATCAGTTGTTTCAGTTCATGTCCTGGCCCTAGGTATATATATTATAGGATTTTATACTTAGTCTAGAGGGGTCGTCGCGATGAGTTCACCGGAGGGCCCTCGAAATGGTAAGACCGGCACTGGGTGTATGCATCGCAAGAGGCTGGTGTTTGGTTTCACGGTACTAGCTAAGCCTGCATTGCCTTGTTTGGTTGGCTAAATTGAATGCAATCACCTTGTACATGTGTGGGTGAGTTTTAGCTGCATCACCGTCACCTCTTCAGCACCTATGAAGTTCTTTCTTCTTAGGGACATTCCGTCGAACAGCTAGCCCACGCCACCACCGGCGAGCAGGAAGAAGAGCAGCAGCAGCCCCACCACCGCGCCATCACAGGAGAGAGAGAGAGAGAGGAGCTCCGGCGAGTGGCGGCATAGGAGGAGGTGACCATGGCGATCAGGCTGGTGGTGCGCTCATCAGCAGAAGCGGGTCAACTAGGGCGCGTCGGGGTGAGGCCGACGAGTCGCCGACGCTCGGTGGAGCTTGACGATGCAGCCACGGATCGTCGAGGAGGAGCAGCGGGGCAAGCTCGTGGCGACATTGCAATCCCGTAGAGGGAGACATCGAAGCCGGAGGTGGCTCAGGCAGGGAGATCGACGACCTCGACCTGGAGTCGTCCATCGGTCCATGGCGGCGGTGGTGATTTGGGGCCTGGGGAAGGTCACGCCAGGGCACTCGCGGCGTCCATGGCCGACGTCGGCGTCCTCGATAGCGCGCACGCAGGGCCTGGGGAAGGTCGCGCAGGGGCAGCGGCGCTCGCGTGGTGGCCGGGGGTGGGCGACAGGGACATAGAGGATAGCGGAGACGCGGAGCTTGGCCGTCGACGGGGAAGGCGGAGCTCGCGCGGAGGAAGCGACGCTCTCGGAGGTGCGCAGACCATTGTCCGTGGGCCAGCGTCGTAGCACAAGCCAGGCTTGCTGGGAACGATGGGATGGAGCGTTCCCAGCAAGCCAAGCCAGGCCAGCCCCCCTCCTTTGCATTAGTTGAGCCAGGCTTAGGCATGCAACCAAACACGAGATAACTACGTTAGGGAAGCCTAGACAGGGCCTTAACCAGGCAATCAAACACACTCGAATTCCCGGATCCTGACACCCACGCCCACCACCACCCAGGCTATGCAGCCATCAGCAACAGGGCCAGAGCCTAAACGCAGTAATGGCACCGGCGACACAAGGCCCTCGTGCCTGCCGGTGAGCTTTTCTATCAGCTGCTGCTGTCGGCAGCAGCAAGCAGCCAAGCAATAAAACGGCAACAGCAATCTGATTCAATGGCATACTGCGACCCAGATTGACCTTGTTACAGCCTTACAAGGACCAGTAACCGTAAACTGACAAAGGAGATGTCACATACCGACCCAAGATTCAGGTCCAGTCAATTACTTGGTTTAAAGGATGTCCATAACATCGACGACAATCTGATAGGTAGGTTTTAGCAGTAGAGTGCAATCACTTGGCAACGAGGAAACCAGAATATACACAGTTGCTTAGCAGGTCTTATTTACAAGAGGCATGGGCAGGGCATTTAGTAGGGAAGCAAGGGCAAGGCGACCCGATTGCGGTGAGCTGTGGTGTTTGCGCCATCCATCTAGAGCAGACCGAAGGTGTTCTCACCACTGTAAGTCATGTAGAGGAACCCATCCTCGTCCTTGTTCTCTTCATAGATTGATGACATCAGAGCAGCTGCACAAGTACAAGTAAAATCAAGTGAGAATGGCAAAAAAAAAAAAAAAATCAAGTGAGAATGTAAGTAAAATCAAGTGAGAACAGGGATCATGTCCCCAAATGCTCAACGTATGTGTCATGAGGTCTTATAGGAAGCAAAATCAGAGCCAGATGTATGTTGTTTCTGTATTTATTTTCCAGACCTGTTGGTGGAAGGGTATTCTTCACAAAGATGAAGATAGCCTTCTCAGCACTGAGCTTGATTCTCTTCCTAACAACATACACGAATTGTCCAACTGTAAGATCAGCAGGGACGAGGTACCTGCAAAGTGGTGGCAATCAGAAAATCAGAACAGTTTATTTGCTTGCTATGGCTGACACGGCACATATAACACTTTGATGTGTGCAATACACTTTGATGTGTGCAATAGTGCTTTAATGCAGTAGCATTTCTTTTGATACAGAATGGTAATGGAGCCCCTTGGATTCAAAAAAATGAAACTAAAATCACCAACCATTTCAGGACCACGCTTGAGCTACTTTTTCAGCCATGGAACAGTGTTTTCCTCTCACAACATTTCAGCATAAGCATCAGCATAAGCCAAATTTCAGCATAAGTGAACAGGGTAGTAAATATTTAACTCAACAAGTCTGTTTATTAGGAATAGTGTCAATTTGGTGCAATTATCAAGCAATTTCTATGGCACCATAGATCGTGATATAGTAATTGGGACAACTGAAATAATGTGTGCAATAAACGACCACAATGCAATACTGTTGCACATTTATATCAGGGCAGCCCAATATAATGCAAAATGGATGGCACCAACTACCATCAGTTATCAGAAAAACGGTAGAAATCTCACTAGCATTAACTCATAAACATTTAAAGATCAACATATCTGTATAACAGTTATGATTAACTTAGAAAAGTTGAGAACTGACTTTTTCTTGTCGATGTCAGGAATATCACTCCTCTCAGCCTTCTCAACAATCACCTGCATTATAAAATATTGTCATAAATTGGATCAAAGCGATCATGAAGAAAGAAGCAGTGCAGACAGGAGGGTAGAAGCTTACTGGAATTCTGTCAGGGTACTTCTCTCTGATCCGGTTAGCCTCAGACTGCCTCTTCTCTGCAACACAAGGCATGCCAGATTAAGGGTTCAGTGATGTAAACTGAATAAAAAGCTAAATTGTCTCACAGGGAAATGATGGAACAAGGCCATAGCGACTGAGAACATGTTGGAAATCATAGCTAGCTGGGACATAGAATTGTCTTTGTCCAAAGAGAACTCAAACTAACAGAGTCATCAAATGTTATCAAGTACAGATTTTATCTTATCAGCTTCTTAAGGAAAAGCAGAAAAACTATTATTATCCATGTCAAGTAGGGCACACATGTCAATCAATTGATAGAAACCAGCTCAACCAACTCATGTCAATTCAACCATATAAGATAGTTTTTTCTTTTTGTAAAATTAACTAGGAAATAGTAACAACTTAGGACAAAGCACAATAAAATCAGATTGCCCTGTAACTTATCAAGGGCATGACCACATTGTTAACCATCAGCAACCTTACAATACCAAAAACAGTTTTAAAAGAGACAATTGCAGCTTCACGTTAAAACGCATTTTACAGCTGCCCAAACTCTTGTGATGGTACAAACTTCTTCTGAGTCAAATGTATTATGTGATTCATAGAAATTAGTAAGTAAATCTCAAATATATGATCCTCCAGATAAGGAACCACTTCAGCAAAAATCTCACACGACAAACCCAATGATCACTTTAGATTTTCAGATTGACTAGCCACTTGTATCATGTACAACTACTGAATATCACTGTCTAACACAAACTGGAATGGCAGAACGCTAAGTCAAAGTACATATTGTAGTCACATATTACTTCTACCCAATCAACACCAAATACATAATCCCACAATAATCATTGGCTGCTCAAAAATTTTGGCACGAGATATGTATAATTTAATCTGCAGTTGCTAGCTTTTAAAGAGAGGCAAGCTTGCCCACAAATCAAAGCAAATCACATAAGGAAACTCCACCAATCACGACTGATTATAAATATATTCAACTAGATGGAAAGTTGTTCAGTTCCTCAGAGTACTACCAATCCGCAAAATTACCCTCCTAAATCTGTACAACAGTCAATCATCCAAGCCACCAACAAGCAAGCAGTAGAGATCAACGGTTTTCTACAGAACCACAAAACCTAAAGGGGGCATGGGGAACATTATACGAACCGAGGGGGTGCTCCAGCTTGAACGAGCTCGTCTTGGCCATCATGCTCCTTCCTGCCTATAGGCACCAACCAATCCCTCAATCAAATCACCGAGAAAACCGCACATCAATCGAGCCGATCGAGCAGCAAAAACTAAGAACCAATCGAGTAAAATCTTACCGGTTGGATCGAACCGCGTTGGGGGATGCGAACGAATCGAACGAAGGAGGCGAACTGCTCCGGGACCTAGAGTTCACCCAGACCAAAACCAGAAAACAGACACCAGATCGATTAGAGGAAGCCCCCCGATCGGCGGAAACCTGGGCCGATTGATGGAAGAGCTGAGGAGAAACGCACGGGACTCACCGGATTTGGCTGGATTGGGTTGGTGGGGGAGGGTTTCTTCGTCTTCCAAGCAAGCGGCGGAGAGACGGAGTGGTGGGTAAAGAAAGGGGTAGGGGAAGGAGTCGGGGCATCGGGGTTGCTTATGTAAAGGCCCAGACGCGCACGAAACGTAACGCCCAGGAAACTTGATTGGAGAAAACACAAAACAGGCACGGCTGCTTTCGCGTAAGAAAACCCAAGTCATGATGATCCAATAATGCAAGGCAGCGTATAATACTACTCGATCAAAGAAGATAGGCAATGGTATCCTCGTTGATAAATTCCTTCACAAATTACGTACAAATTCATAACTGCTACAGCTATGACCGAGAATCTTCACATGTTACGTACAAATTCATAACTGCCACGGCTATAACAGAGAATGGGATCCTCGTTGATGAATTTATTCACATTATTATTTATCAATTTTATAATAATATATAAATATAGTCACAATTATCCTTTTTCTTTGTAGAAAAACTTCTCCGGGCATGTTGTGGTGATTCTTTTGAGTACTACATACATCTAGAAATCCCCGTCAATTCCTTAATGCTACCCTTTTGAGCACAGTTAATACATTCCAAAATAACTCGAATTATAACATCTTTGCCCCCGTCTAATCTCTCAGCTCGCACTTTAGCTTTGTTCCAAGTCAAAATTCTCTACTTTTGATAAAGTTTACAGAATTTTTATCAACATCTACAATACTAAATTAGTTTCATTGTTTTTTCATCACATATGCCTTAATTTTGCATATATTTGTACTTGTATGTAATGTATTTTTTCAAATCTTGTTCAAACTTAGAGAAGTTTGATTTTGGAAAACTTTGAAGCGAACCATAATTTGGAACGAAAGGAGTAGAGTTTAACCAAAACAGATTTGTACCAAACTCCAGTCAACTTGGAGCAAGACTTTTTATGTTTCCATGGATTTGCACACGATGACATGTGAAATGATTATATATCTATATACAATAATATTAAAAGGATGAGGGCTCTCCTCCATCCGTCGCTGCCATCTTCATCCGTGTGTTGGGGTGGAAGTGGAGATGCCCCTATTGGTCCTAACTAAGGTTTCCTCTTGTTTCACACCAAAAGCCATCCATACCCCTTAATAGATAGTTTAAAGATTGTTATCAGATGGCACAAATGTTGATGTTACAATCCAAATAAAAATAATTAACTTTTAGTAACATGTTCTTAGTCCTTGATCACTTGTGTACAAAGTCAATAATACAATATTGGTCGGTAGAGTCATCGGTGCAGGCCCCACCCAACAGGGTTCAAATGTGCACCTACTTGCATTTTGTATAATCCAGTGATTGTATACATCCTTAGTTGCTACAATGACCGAAATGTATGCATCCATTGAATTATATAAACATGTAAGTTGATGAACACTAAGATTTGAGCCTTGGTGCATGGAGCCCTACAATGGTTGATTGCTTCATTTAAAAAACCTTAAAATGACATTGAAATGTATCTTTGAGTTAAATTTAAAGAGGAAATGCAGATAGAATAGGAGCTCGAGGGGAATTGCTTATATAAATTAAAAGGCATGTAAAAGGGGCAAGAGCATTGAAAACAGACCAAAACATTATTACATCCATTATTCACATTTACACCAATTGGAAATAGGCCTGCAAAAAAAACAGAGCTAAAACACACTCACAGCTTAGAAGATAAACCTAGCCTAGTTAACTCGAGCCATTTGTCACACCCTCCCAAAGACGAGCTTTTGGACAACGGGGCCTCACCTTCGGTGGCAAAGTATTGGACCATCAATTTGCTACATTCATGTACAACACTTGTCCCCACTTGTTCTTCTTGAAGATCATCACATGAGTCTCATTGGTCTTATTGCTAGCTTCTTCAACTCCGCGGGTCTCGAGGTGAACTCCTGAACATGGCTTCGTGGACATAGGATCACCCAACTTAGGATCAAAATACAGTTATAAAAAACTTTGGATCAAAATAGCAACCTTTAGCAAGAGAGATTTCATATCCCTCCACGAGGCCTCCTAGAAATATAAACTATTTCTAAGTTTCCAGAGCCCGGACAGGGCCATAGTAGAGAGATATTGCATACTATGAACTTTCTTTTACTTAACCATATCTTGCCCTACAAATAGAAAGTCACTCCACGAAAAATAAATGATGAATAGTTTCCTTAACAAAATAAAAAGACAAAGACATGTCTTCTACTTTTCTTCTTAATTTAATACTTAAATTATTCTAGTTAATGGCTTGTTTTTAGAGAGTAACCACACATGAAAAAAGGACTCTAAGGTACTTTTACTTACCAAAGCCCAGAGACGTACGTGTATAGGAGCCCCCCTCCCCCTAAAATTGAAGGTTCTATATAGAGATTGAGAGGAATATACAAACCGCTAGAGCTAAATTGCCAAATAGAGGCATCTTCCTATTAAAAACAGATAGTTGAAGCTAACCGAATGACCTCTAACCTTAAGTTCATGAGCCATGCATCTGCACATCTTCTCAAAGTACATTTGAGGTTAGTGCCATCCCACAACTCTACTATTATTGTATTGGCTTTCTCGCGGGTTGAGTTTTTTTATTTAGTTTACCAAGATGTAAACCTCCCAATATTAATTAAAGGGTTAGGGTGAAATGGAAGCTAGTTATCTTCATAGAATTTGACCTTATGACCATTACATCAGTTCTAACGCTTGATGCGAATGCTCCAGCCTTTTCAGTCAATGACATGGAAATGCGTGAAAAAACTTTTTATCAAAGGGAGTGGCTAGTCATAATAATTGTATTTTTTGTTAAGCAAAATCATTATGGTTGTCTAGGATTCAACCGGAGCCGTATATTCCACACAAGAGTCTTGCCTAGTAGTCTTACCAAAGGATCCTGCAAAGGCTTATGCAAGAAACAGAAGCAGGCTCAGGCTGGACAAAGGAACCAGAGGCCCGTAACTCCTTAACAGGGCCAGGAATTGTTGGGCCGATTTTCCTACAAAACCAGGCCTCACTTTGGACCACACAGCTTACCCCACAAGACTGAACCTGAGGTCCAAGCCCAATCACTGTTCTGTCCGATTGAAAGTAGTGTCTAGGAAACGGGCCAGCCGCTACATTGCATATGTATGTTTCAAGTATTTCAGACATTTCAGATATATGTTGTATTTGTTTTATATGGATGTTGCAAAAGTAGATCGGGGGATGTTGCACATGTTGCATATGTTGCAGTTGTTTCAGAGGCATGTTGCAAGTGTATGTTTATGAAGTATGTTTCATCTATGTTTTTCGGACGCACGTTGTAAGTGTGTTTATGTGGATGTTGCATATGTTTCACACATACGTTGCATGTGTTTTATTTGGATGTTGCGTATAGTTGCAATGGTTTTCAAGTGTTTTCATGTGTTTTTTTGAAGTGTTTTAAAAGCATGTTTCAACTACCTTCAGACGTATGTTGCAACTGTTGTATTTGGATGTTTCAAAAGTAGATCGGGTGTTGCATTTCTCCTCCCCACCTTCTGCTGCATCGTCTCTTCCGACGCTAGCAGGGTATCCATACGACGCCGCGGCCGGATCCTTCCAAATCGGAGGTGCCGCACGCCATTCCCCTCTTGTCACTCGGGCAGTGTGAGCTCTGAAACAGAGTCCGGACGTCCCGGCGCTAGCACTACCGTTTTCTGTTTTGTTAGCTAGAGAGATGAAGATGGGGTCAACGAGTCAACACAAATATAGTATACTCCTACATATGTGGACTCTCTCTTCTACTGCAGTCTTGAGCGTGAAGTTCGGATCATCGTCGGTTTCCTTTCATGCTCATACACATTTTGAGTAAAGTGGTAAGTACGTACTGTAGATTCACTGCACGATGAGAGTCCAAATATTCAGGTTTATATTCTTGGCACTAATACACGTGTGCTCCTGAGCTTCGCTCGTCTGACTGAAATTTCGAAAAACAAAACAATAATAACTAAATTTTACTACATCATACTCCGTACGTCCTTGCCACTATGACGTCAGCGACTCTGCGACAGCGTCTGAAGATGGCATCCAAAGCACACCCGTCCATGGGCGGGGTGAAAGAAGCTGCAAGCCTAATGTCCGCGTTGCCGGCCCAGAGTGGACTCGTCCCAGGACTGTGACTGCGTGAGTTGCCACTAGTCTACGTGTGCATTGAGTTATGTATGAACATCATAGCTCAAACACTATCATTCCTTTGTTTTTCCCCAACTAGGCCTCGTTTGGATTGCAAGTTTTTTCACTCTCTCTTCATCACATCAAATTTTTGGACATATGGATGGAGTATTAAATGTAGATAAAAAAATAACTAATTATACAGTTTGATTGTAAATTACGAGACGAATCTTTTGAGCCTAGTTAGACCATGATTGGACAATAATTGTCAAATACAAACGAAAGTGCTACGGTGCCAAATACTGATTCCTAACGCTTATCTAAACAAGGCCCTACTTCCGGGCTCCAGCCTCTGCTTCTGGTATCAGATTTGTAGATCCGCGGCTGATCGTGCGTTTCTTATTTCTCATTTATTGATCTATTACATTTCTATTTTTTTTATTGATTGACATTAGCGGGCTTGCGGCTGGTTGGTTTAGTTCATTAATTGGTTCTAGGTAAACCTGACTGGTTGTCGAATTCCTATAATTTCACGGCCCGTCCCTTGATTCAGGGTTACTTAGATCCATGCCATTACAATTTTTGCTCTTCTAAGATATATATGTCATTACTATTCATTTATTTGGAGACTTGCCATTATAATTCTTCTGAGATTGAAGGAGAAGCTAATGTGTGGGGTTCACACGTCAGCGTGCGGAGGGAGAGAAGTAGCAAGGGTATTTTGGGCCATACGAGAATGTTGCCTTTAGTCACCTGCGCGTGGGCCCAATGCTGCCGAATATATAGAAAATGGCACGATTCAAGCTAGAGAGGAATTATAATTGCAAGTTTCTAAATAGACAAATAGTAATGGTATATCTCAAAAGTGCAAAAATTATAATGATATGGATCCAAATAACCCCTTGATTTATAGCGGAATCGCACGATCTGGAAGATCCGCTGCTGCCGGTCCCTGGTCACAACCACTACACCTAGTTGCAGCGCAAATTGGAAGTCGTCTCTTCCAATTGGAAGATGCTTCTCGAGGAGATCTAGAGTTTGTTTGCCGAACAAAGCACGTAGGTGGACCAATGCTTCTCCAATGTCGATC